TGGTTGATTGACTATTTACAATAATTCTTTGTCTTCCTATAATTAAATTTCTGTTAAGACTTAGACTCTGTTTAACTTTACTTCTGTTAAACCACAGTAAAAGTCTTCATTAACCAAAATTCTCAGAAAATGGAAGGAGTTCAAGTGTTTAAGCGTTCTGCTTATTTGAGCAGTGTTACTGTCGTACTCTTTCTACTTCAGCATTTTTCCCTGAGAAAAGTAAAGTTTACAATCAGACTACTATGTGCGAATCCCAGCTACAGCACTTAACAGCTGGTAATCTTGGACAAAATGTGAACCTCTCTGTGCTTTTGTTTTTTTTCATCTGAAAAGTGGAGATAGTAAGACTTCATAAGATTGGGAGCACTAAAAGAGTTAGCATATGAAAGTGCTTAGAACAGTACCTAAAACCTAGTGAATGTCATGTAAATGTTAGCTACTATTACTGCCTTGTCCTGCTATCAAAGAAATGATAATTATGTAGTATTCTAAATGAAAATGCTTAGGGATTTGGGCTAAATTTGTGTTTGGGCTGGGTTGCAGAATGGAAACCAGAAGCTGACATAATTTGTCCGAAAATACTTAGTCTTTTTGTCTTGTAATCTTCTTGACACATGCCTTCTTCCTAAAAGGCAGTAGAGAGTTCAGAGCAGCTGAGTTTTTTTTCTCATCCTTTTGTTGTTAACTTGAGGTCTAAATATGTTCTAAGAAAATGTACTTAAATGCTTCCTTCCCATAGCTTTGTACAATCCCTATTGATTAGCTATGGAAACATTGCATGGAGAAAGGTTTTGAAACAGAATGTGTCATATGGTCCATTTCTATAAACAATGTAAGTGGGTATGTATGTTGCCATCTATGCAGGGAAAATAAGGCTAACCATATATACAACATGTAAATAGTGCTTATCTACAAGTGACTGTTATGCAAAAATGTTTTTTTCCACCCTGACTTTTTCCCTTTTTTGTATTTTCCAAATTTTCTTCCATGAAAACCTATTTTATAATCAAATAAAGCTTTTTCAAAGGTGTTTTTAATGTCCCTTTTTCCCCAGCAGTGTTCAAATGAAACCTTCATTTCAAGCTTTACATATTAGATATAAACTAAAACAGTTCTTTTCTTCCTTATCAAGTAAACACTTTGAGGTTAATTACATTAAATCTGTGATTCGGCTGCTATGCTTTTTTTTTTTTTTTTCCTTTGGTACGCGGGCTTCTCACTGTTGTGGCCTCTCCCGTCGCGGAGCACAGGCTCAGCGGCCATGGCTCATGGGCCCAGCCACTCCGCGGCACGTGGGATCTTCCCAGACCGGGGCACGAACCCACGTCCCCTGCATCAGCAGGCGGACTCCCAACCACTGCGCCACCAGGGAAGCCCCATGCTGTGCATTTCTTAAGGAGAGGCATAATGAGTGATCCATGATTCTAGACTGAGGTGATTTGTATTCATGGGATTAAGTTTCATTTTAATGAAAAGGCAAATATGTTTAACCTTATTATATAAACATGTTATCTTAAAACTTAAGTACTGCTTTTGCTATCAAAAGCCATTCACTAAACGTGGACAGTGAGAAACTAGCCATTCATTCTCAGTCAGCCTGGTTTTGTGTAGAAGCATGTATTATTTTGATTCCATTCTGTTAAGAATATGTTCTTCCTCACTGTTTATTTAGTAAGTATAAATATTAAGTGCCCACTTTTTTGGCTTATTTGCTTGATAACCGGTATGGATATTTTGGGGTTTTTTTCCTTTAACGGGGTGTGTAGGGTGTTAAAAGCTTCTAACCCTGCCCTTAAGAAGCACACCATTTCTATTTTTGGGGTTTCTTAAACGTGTACACAAGCCATGAGAGAACAGTTAACAAGAACAATTTTTATATTACCTGTCGAGTTTTAAGAAATATGGGATAAGGCAATGAACAAAATTATGAGAAGATTAATAAGAGAGCTTCTTAGGAAGGTATTTTCCTTTAAAGTGTTTGACATTATTTGTATTAGCTCCACTGTTATTTAAAAACATGTTCCCAGTTTATTTGTGCTACTTCTGAATGAAGTACTAATATTAGTTATTTTCTTCGACTTTCACAGTCTTTAAAATCTGGAACCTCTTAGTAGTTCTCACTGCTCTTCTACTTGTAAAATCTCTGGTTCTCCACCAGTATTCTGCCTTCACCTTCCACTTTTCTTCCCTGTTCCTCAAACATGTTACTCATTTTTTACTTTGTCCAGACCTTTTCTTTAAGTCCAGGCTCATATGTTACTTCCTCTGTGAATACCAGCCAGGATTAACTTCTCCCTCTCAATTTCATAATGCCCTATTTATTCTGCTATTCTGTTATGGTGTCATGGCTAAGAATGCCAAGTTTCAAAGATAGGGACCGTGTTTCACTCACCTTTTATCACCCTCCAGGCACATCTTGAGCTTAACAGTCTATGACAAATGAGGTGCTAAAGTCAGATGTTTTAGATTTTATGTTACGTTGCACATTTTCAAAATGTGATTTTTGTGTGGAGATATATATATATATATATATATATATATATATTAGTAGGAATGGATATTAGTGGAGTTAAGGTTGCATTAAAGAATCTAAAATACCATTGGAAATTTATCGGTGCAAATTCCATGATGTAGTGTCCAGGTGATGCTACATTAGACCACTGTGTCATGAAATCTATAGCTATGTATTGAAGTTTTCTGTGTCAGATTTCTTTTCGTAAGAGGGAATTGCAGGCAGGAGGCAAACAAGGTGAACCTCCAAATACTGGCAATGAATAAAATACAAAAATAGTTTGAAAAACACTTGAGTTTCTTAGGGGGATGTGACTATTTAAGTCAAGGTATTTAAGTCACATTATGTTACAGTGAATTCTGCTAGGTGGTCACATTTTTCTTTTTAATTTTAGTGGACTGTAATTCAGACAAGTCCATTGTAAGAAGTTACTTTCCCGGTCTATAAAGAGCTGAGCCCAAATTCTGACCCTGCAATAGATGTATGTGTGGGTGAGAGGTGGTGTTTCCAACACAAAAAAAGGGTCTTCACATCCCATTTCCATTCCTGCCCTTTCTTTTCCTAGGGGTGGAAATGTATCAGTGTACGTTTCGATGGTATTTGGACTTTAGAGTATGAATTTGAAATACTTGTTATTTGGTAAACTGAAAATAGGGTTGGTTGTTAATTATTAGGCTAAGGAGCAAGAAAGAAGCTTCTTGGGCTTCCCTGGTGGCGCAGTGGTTGAGAGTCCACCTTTCGATGCAGGGGCCGCAGGTTCGTGCCCCGGTCCGGGAAGATCCCACATGCCGCGGAGCGGCTGGGCCCATGAGCCATGGCCGCTGAGCCTGCGCGTCCGGAGCCTGTGCTCTGCAACGGGAGAGGCCACAACAGTGAGAGGCCCGAAGTGAGAGGCGTACCGAAAAGAAAAAAAAAAAAAAAAGAAGAAGTTTCTTTACCACCAGATTTGAGGACTATAGGAATTTCACAGGGAGAAATGTTTCAGAAACAGCATATTAACAATCACTTTATTACACATAAGGACCATAATATACATTTTTTGGGAAAGCTAGATTGGCGAGAACTCATTTGAAACATGGCAATAAAGCACTGTTGCCATAGAAATAGCATCATTTTATAAAACCCTTCACTATTAAAGTATTCACTATAACTGGATTTGTACTTGATTTTTACTTTGTTGTTAATATGTTGCTTAGTTACCGGATATGTTTTGTATTCATATCTTTAGAAAAGGTTGATGCTAGAATTTATTCAATTACTTAGCCATTGAGTGGAATCATTGAGGCTTCCAGGCAACTGCAGTGATACCCTTGTCTACAATCAATACCTGAAATGGGATCTTTGCCATTCCTCTTGCTTTAGGGATTAATAAGGATGGAGATGAAAACTTGATATTTATAAGGTAGCAAAATAGATTTATGGTGCTATCAGAGAAATCATTTCGCTGACCTTTAGTTGTGGAAGTTTGTATAGGCAGTGCCATAGTTTGGTTTATCTTTGTAGAAGCTTTTTAGATACCCTGATTAGAAGGTCAGTTATTTATTTTTATCTGGTTTCTTTAAAAAAACAAAAACAAAAAAAGGATTTGTGGTAGTTTTTAGTAATTTACATAAGTCTTGAGCTAACTGGTTTACTTAAAGGAATCCTGTTAGGGTCAGGAGACACATATTGTACAATTCACTACTCAAAGCTTATCATTGTGGATTCTTGTTTAAACAACTGATAAATTCACTTAATAAAAGTATGTTTATACTCTTAACTTACTAGTTAAATTACCAACAGTGCCTTCAGTTTAGGAAGAACTGTCCCTTAGGTTTTTGATCTGTGAACTTTGGGCAGATTGCTTAACCCCTCTAATGATCGGTTCCTCTGTTAAGTGACCTTAGTAATACAAGGAAATAACCTTAAAAAAAAAACTCAATTTTTCCTTGTGCCCTTGACACATTCCTAATATAAGTATTCGTATCTTAGTGTGGTTTTTCAAACATACAACTATTCTATAAAAGTGGTTCCCCCCTGCCATTATTTTCAGTCTCCAGAAGGACTAGTTCTATCACTACCAACTCAAAACTCCATTTTTTAACAAGAGGCCCTGCATTTTGCTTTTGCACTGGGTCCCACAAATTATGTAGCCAGTCCTGGCCCACAGAAACTATTTTTAATAACAGACTGTACTATACACTAACTAGTAATTGTGTATATAAACCAAGTCTGTGGCCCTATAAATTTCCTCAACTGCAAAGGAAATCTTTGTACCCAAATTTTATTTGAGTGTTATTTTGGAAAGGTGGAGAGGGTAGCTGACTTGGGTTACCTACATAGTAAACCTTTTAAATGTTAGCTCTCATAACAGAAGATTTTTGAGACTTGCTGTTTAAACAAAACTCTGTCATCTTAGAACACCGAGTACTTGCTTAAAATACAAAAACATACTGCTGGTGAAATAAATTAAATTCAAAGCAGGATTTAACTCACTGTGCCATTACAGGTTATCAAGTTATGCCCAACCAGCAGCAAAACTACCAGGGGTTAGTTGGAGTTCAGCAACCCCAGAGTCAGAGCCTAGTTGGTGGCCAGCCCAACAGTATTGGAAATCAGATTCAAGGAGTGGTCATCCCCTATCCTTCAGTGCCATCATATCAGGTACGTGGTCGCTCTTACCTGTATTGGGTAGAGGGGATTTTGAATAACTAAAATGTGTAGCTACATTTTCCTTTTAATATGGGGAAAATACTTCTGTAATACATAACTTTATAGTCTTAAGAGTTTTAGTCATTGCAGCTTTGTTCTGTCCTCACTTATTGAATTATTCATTCACTTCATTAACTTAGAAAAAAAATATCTGAACCATATTAATTTTGAGAAGTACATTTTTCTGGCATTGTCTGTGTTTCCAGCTATTCAATACATAAGTATCAATATATGAGCAAGTGTCTTATTCTATTCTTCAACTCCTTAGAAAATCTCTTGAGGAGAATGGAATGGGAGGGAAAAGTAAAGGTAGAGGTAGGTATATGAAATAGAGTACAGATTATAAGTCAGTGTTTATAGAATAGAGAAGGATGTGCAATTTCCCATGCTGGAACTGAGCTTTTTCCCCCTCACTGAATCAAAAAAAGGAAGAGTATGTCATGTATTGAAAATGTCATGGATTTTAATTTATAGTTCCAAAGTAGAAATACCTACTGTTTCATGAATAAGTCAGATTTCTTTAGCCCATCTATGGCACATTTCCAGAAATTTATTTTACCTTCCTTTACCTTTCTGGAATAACCTGCGAGTGAGTTTGTTTTATTAGCCTCATGGTTTCCCATAACTGACTCGAATGTTAAGAAATCCAAAGGCCGTTGTCATTCATCTCAACAAGGTAAAAATAATCTAGCTGGGAAGATAAATGTACATCTAAACACGGGTCAACAAATTGGTGATAATATACAGACGACTAACTGAAGGAATTATGACATATGGCCATGAATAGGTTAGGGACTTAATACAGAAGTCTTCTAGAAAGGTATAAACCTTTAATTAGCTCTTAAAAGAAAATTATGGGCATAAATTAGTTAAGGCATTCTGAGGATGGGGAAGGATATGAGCAAAGGAGGTAGCATATTCTTGTAATTCCAGAAAATGAAAATTGTAATTAAAATGTAAAATGTGTAATTGTTGAGGACTTCTGAGCACTAAGAATATGTCTGCTTTTGAAGCCCCTTGATAATAGAAAGCAACTAAGGAAAAAAGAAGATACATCCTGAAACTAGATTTTATATCTTTCTTTTCTCTCAAATCCTCCATGCTTTTTACTCCAGTCCACCCTGCTTAAGCCGAGGCACATGAGACTGCCCATCCCCTACTTCCTCTGCAGCTAGACATTAGACAGGGTCACTACCAAGCCAGGAACTCTCCCTTCTCAAGGACCCTGGTCATGCTACCTAATCTAGTCTGCTGAGCATCTATTAGATGCCCAGGCACTGTGTAAATAAGATCTCCCTTGAAATATAAGTTTAGGGACTTCCCTGGTGGTCCAGTGAGTAAGACTCTGTGCACCCAGTGCCGGGGGCCCGGGTTCAATCCGTGGTCGGGGAACTAGATCCCGCATGCATGCTGCAACTAAGAGTCCGCATGCCACAACTAAAGACCCTGCGTGCCAAAACTAAGACCCGGCACAGACTAGAGTAAATAAATAAATAAACAGAGCAAATAAATAAAAGAAAGATTAGTTTAACACTGGAAAATTAACTGGTGGATTAACTATAAAAAAAAGAAATATAAGTTTAAAATAAATTACATCCTTGTTAGTGGAGTTTTTAAAAATGGAGCTAGATACTGAAAGTGTTTCAGAATGAAGACAGTTATTATCATTTCTATAGCATACTTTTTTACAAGTTATAAATTATTTTCTCATGGTATTTCATGTAATCCTTCCACTGGGTGAATGATTGTGGGATGTATTGCTCTGATAAGCAGTGAATGACAGGCTGCTTCATGCTTCCTACTACATTTGGTTAGATAAGCTAGGTGGTAATAAACTGTCATCTAAAAAATAAGCCCAAGAGAATTCCCTGGCAGTCCAGTGGTTAGGACTCGTCGCTTTCACTGCCAAGGGCCTGGGTTCAACCCCTGGTTGGAGAACTAAGATCCTGCAAGTTGTGCATCACGGCTGAAAAAATAAAAATAAAAATAAAATTTTAAATTAACAAATAAATAGTAAGCCTGAAAAGTCATCTACTCAGTAGAGTATATTCTGCAGCTGTACATTCTCAAGTACAGTTTCCTCTCTTTTGGTACTTCAGTTTTTTTCTTTACCACTAGTTACAAATTTATTCTGTAGCTTAAATCATCTAGATTGAGTTGCCATTCTTCCTAGATCTTGCATATATACTAACTTAGATACAATCAGAAATAATCTTAGGATGTTACACTGCCTCAGTAGACAAAAAGACTGAAATATATTTTGTCCTAAAAAATTGGATAAATCAAACCAACAACTTTATCCTTGCTGCTGAGCCAAATTGAAAGTAGTTTAAGAGATTACTGTGTATTTTGAAAGGACTAGTTACATTTTAGAACATGTTATATAGGCAAGACTTAGAAGTTAATCATCAACTTATAAATCACAGAGCCCAGGTATAGAGAATCATGAAGTGGTTAAAGAACTAAGGCTCTGGAGCCAGTGGGCATGGGTTCAAACCCCGACTTTTCTCCTTACTAGCTATACAACCTTGGGCAAGTTATTAACCTCAATTTTTAACCCCTTCCATAAAACAAGGATGATAAAAGTAACTTCTTAGGGTTGTTAGGAAGACTTGATGTAATAATATACATAAAGTTCTTGGAACAGAACCTGAATATGGTAGTAAGTACTTGGTAATGTTAACTTTGATTGTCATCACTGTTACTACTGTTACTGTCATTGCTACTACTGTTGCTGACATCATCATCAGAAGCTTTTACACAGGCTTTATTTACCAAAATCATTGAAATGCAACTAATGTGGTGCACTTGTAAATTACAAAGCCATTATGCCTTTGTGGTTTCTATTTTAGAAACTGTGGAAACTAGAGAAATGAATCCATTATGTTCATGTGTTCTTTTGTGTGTGTTTTTTTAAATTTATTTATTTTTGGCCACACTGGGTCTTCATTGCTGTGCGCGGGCTTTCTCTAGTTGCGGCGAGCGGGAGCTACTCTTCGTTGTGTTGTGTGGGCTTCTCATGGCAGTGTCTTATATTGTTGCAGAGCACGGGCTCGAGGCATGTGGGCTTCAGTAGCTGTGGTGTGAGGGCTCAGTAGTTGTGGCTCGCGGGCTTAGTTGCTCCACAGCATGTGGGATCTTCCCAGACCAGGGATCAAACCCGTGTCCCCTGCACTGGCAGGTGGATTCTTAACCACTGCACCACCGGGGAAGTCCCGATTATGTTCATGTGGTTTCTATGTAGATGAATGTGGAAAACAGAATTGAAAGATCCACTGTTCATCAGATGCCTGCTGTGCTAGATCCTGTAAATGGAGATTATAATGGAGATAATACCCCTCCTGAGGTGGAGGTGGCATCCCGTTTTTGCAGATAATGAACTCTGGGGCCTCAGAATCTGATTTAAGTCGTTTGCCCAGTGTCACATGTATAGTAAAATTGATGGAGTCAGTATCACATCTAGATATCTTAAGCTTCAGAGCTCACACTTTCTGATCCAGTGTATCTCACTAGTAACCTATCTGAGTTTTACTTAGCTCTACCTGAGGTAAATTGCATTACTCTTTCCATGTGAAAGAAAGGGTCATCCTTATTTGGAAACTGTTTCTTTTTAAAAATAACTTCTGGGACTTCCCTGGTGGCGCAGTGGTTCAGAATCCATCTGCCAATGCAGGGGACATGGGTTCGATCCCTGGTCCGGGAAGATCCCATATGCCTTGGAGCAACTAAGCCCGTGCACCACAACTGCTGAGCCTGTGCTGTAGAGCCCGCGAGCCACAACTACTGAACCCGCCTGCCACAACTACTGAAGCCCACACACCACGAAGAAGAGTAGCCCTGGCTCCCTGCAACTAGAGAAAGCCCGCGTGCAGCAACAAAGACCCAACGCAGCCAAAAATTAAATAAATAAATTTTTAAAATAAAAATAATAAGATAACTTCTACTTTGGGATGTGAGTCATAACTCCTAGCCTACTGTTCTATTGATAAATGCTAGCCCAAAACAATAACCAGCTAAAAGGAACGTTGAAATAAAGTGGTAATGCTGTAACTAACTTATCAGGACAGCCTATTGGCAGTTTTACCTTATTCCTAACTGCTCACACTTGAAAGTTTATGGAGGCTGGAGACATTAACATTTGCAAGATTTTAAAGAACGTTTTTGCCTTTAAATTGCCTTTCAAATTTTAGGTTTCACTGCCTCAAGGTTCTCAAGGAATTGCCCATCAGACTTATCAACAGCCCGTTATGTTCCCTAATCAGTCTAATCAAGGATCTATGCCTACAGCAGG